TTGTTTTGGTTTATACAAACCAAAGATATGTTTATCTCACTAACTTAGGTGTTTCTCCAATTTGGATAAAGAGACCTTCCTAGTTTCAAGGGCTAGGAGTCACCAGAGTTTAATATCTGTGTCATCTCAAGCCAGTGATTTGGTTTCCAGCGTTATGTAATTTTTAAAACCCGCTTATTCTGGAAAGGCTCAAACATACACAGAAGTGGAGAGATGAGTAGGATGAACGTTCATGTGCTCAGCTCTCGGTTTGCGGCTCGTTGCCAGTCGTGTTTCATCTGTACCAGGATCCGTGATTTGATAACTTGGGATCTCCCGACATGTTGGGCCAGAAAATTCTTTGTTGTGGAGGACTGTCCTGGCTCTGTTAGGATGTTTAGCGGTATTCCTAGCTTCTACCCACTAGAGGCCAGGAGCTTTCCCCTGCTACTTTTTCTGATGATGACAGCCAAAAATGTCACCTGGGGGTAAGGCATCCCTCCTTGAGAGCCACTGCTTTCTGCTCTCTCCAGTCTCTCCATCCTTTCAAGATGATTTGGAAGCAGATCCTATGGATCAAATCAAATCCATTGTGACTTATCGCTCTGAAAAACAATGCCGCCCAATGGGCCCTATCTAGAGGAAAGAAACAAAGATTTCATCCTGTTCCTACATGAATTATCATGGCAACCTGCCACTGTTGGCCGCAGAGATGGTCATGGTCATACCAGCTACTAGAGTTGATAGGAAGTTAGCAAATGCAAAGAAATTGGAGTCCTGCTTCAGCCTATACTTTTTTTCTCATTGTGGTAATATAGACAAAATACAAAATATTCCATTTTCGCCATTTTTAAGCACACAGTACCGTTCCATGGCAGTAAGGACATCCCCATTGTCAGGCAACCATCACCAACACGCACCTCCAGAATTCTGTTAACCTTGCAAAACTGAAACTCTGTATCCATCAGATAATAACCCCATTCCCTCCACCGCTCAGTCTGTCTACCATGAATCACCGTTCTACTCTCAGTCTCTATGAGTTTAACTACTGTATTCTAGGTACCTCGTTTAAGGGGAATCATACAATGTCTGTCCTTTTGTGACTGACTTATTTGCTTAGCATCAAGTCCTCAAAGTTCAACCGTGTCGTAGCCTATGTCAGAGTTTCCCCTATTTTAAGGCGGGATAATACTCCCACTGTGTCCACAGACCACATTTTGTTGATCCGTTCATCCACTGAGAGACACTTGGGTTGATGCCACCTTTTGGTTATTATGAACAGCGTTGCTACAAACATGGATGAAGAAATATTCATTCAAGACCCAGTTTTCAGTTCTTTGGGGTAAATATCCAGAAGTGGGATTGCCGGGCCCTATGTCACTGTATTCTTCATTTTCTGAAGAAGCGCCATATTGTTTTCTACAGGGGCTGCACCACCCTGCCCTCCTACCAGCAACGCACAGGGCTCTAGTTTCTCCTCATCCTTGCCAACACTTACTATTTTGCTTTTTTAAATAAGAGCCATTCCCATGGGTGCGAAGCGGTATCTAACTGTGGCTCAGTGTGTGCCTTTTAAGATGTACGTCTGGGGGGCGCCTGGGTGGCTCAGTCATTAAGTGTCTGCCTTTGGCTCAGGTCATGATCCCAGGGTCCTGGGATCAAGCCCCACATTGGGCTCCCTGCTCCGTGGGAGGCCTGCTTCTCCCTCCCCCACTCCCCCTACTTGTGTTCCCTCTCTCACTGTCTCTCTCTCTGTTAAATAAATAAAATCTTTAAAAAAAAAAAAAAAAGATGTACGTCTGGGAGTTGAAGAGCAATTCTGTTAGAAACCTCCTGTAGAACCAAATGGCTCTGCTGTGTTTCCAACTTTGCCTTGGAACTGTTTGCCGGGGAACATTCAGAAAGCCATCCGGGACTCACTCCCGGGAAGAGGACGGGGGAGTGGATTGTGTTTGTGTGTAGCAGGAAGCTTCCAGTCCCCAACAAAATCTGGCATTTAGGCATTAACTGAGAACAGTTAAGGGAAAGGATTCAGGTTAGGTTAGAATGAGAGTGCATTAGAGCCAGAAGAGACATTAGAGATCAGGTCTCCTAAATCACAGATTTCCTATTTACCGCCCCCCCCCCACAAATTTTTTTGAAACCCAGAGCATGTAAGTCTTCTTTTCTTGACTTGCTGGTAGTGACAATGTCTTGCCCACTGTCTCCTGTATCTGGCATACAATGTCAACCAGTAAATGTTTGCAGAATCAGTGAATTACCTAATGTCGCCCAGCTGACACCTGAGAGTCAGAACTAGGGCGTTCAGAGTATGGTGGCAAAAAGATGGCAGATTGCGTCAGTGACCCCGTGAGCGTTTCTTCCTCTTTAGCGATCACTGGGGTGACAAGATCAGATGGCATGTTTGCACCGTGAGCCTTATTCTTCCTTGGGGGTTGCAAGGATCCACCTCTTTTAAGACAAGACCAGCTGACGAGACTGGCAGGAGGCTGCGGAAATCTGGACCAGCTGAGTGACAGCCACCAAGCTTAAATCTGTTCCTTCTCACCTCTGCCCCACGCCTTCATGGGCCAACCTCCCCGTCCTTTATTCTTCTTTTTGGGAAAGCCTAGTTTCTCCTGGGAGCCTTTGGAGGCCTCTCTCTTTATTCTGCTAAAGCAGGTGTTCTCTGTCTTGCCTGCCTATGAGAACCACCTGATGCCTTGGAAATTCTGACGCCATGCCAGTTACGTCAGAAGGGTTGGGACCAATTTGTACCTATTTAAACAGTTTTTTTCCTGATTGTTAGCCAGAGCCTCCTCTCTCCTTAATCATGAGGCTTCTTGTTATTTACTTTGGATCTAAAGGGGGCAGAGTGTAAGAGAATAATAATAATGTAACAAGTTCACATCATGTTAATGTTACTTTACAGTGACTGGAGGTTATTGTGCTCCTTTCTCAGGGTATAGGCTCCTGGAGGCAGGAGCCGGGCCTCCCTTCTCCATGCCAGTGCTTCTCAAAGTGACTGTGCATCACCATCCCTTGGGGGGCCGTTAAAGCACACATTGCCGAACCCACCTTGGGAACGCCTAATTTAGTAGGTCTCAGGTGGGGCATGAGAATTTGCATTTCTGATGGTTTTCCAGGTGATGCCTGTGCTGCTGGTCTGGAACTACACTTGAGAACCACTGCTCTGCCCTTTGAGTCCTTCCTCTCGCGCAGGGGTGCTCAGTAATTACGGGCCAGGCCAGAGGAATGGAACGGATTTCCCCTTGGGTGCTCTCCTCAGTGACTGTGTTCTCTGTGGCCGAGAGAAGGAAAGAGTGTGTGATTGATCACCTACAGACGATCGTAACTTTGACTTTCTACTTGCCAATTCCTCTACATTTTTAGCCTTGCTAAGATGGTTTTTTTTCCTCTCCACTGTGTATGAGAGGGAGAGCTGGGATGGCGTATTTAGGCTACATAAGAAGGTATGACCTTGTGGGGGTAGGTTGGGGGGATGGCGTAACTGGGTGATGGACATTAACGAGGGTTCGTGATGTGGTGAGCACTGGGTGTTATACAGAACTGATGAATTATGGGGCTCTACATCTGAAACTAATGTACTATATGTTGGCTAACTGGATTTAGATTTTTAAAAAAAGGTATGATCACATCATGTAGGCTAGGTCACAGTTCACCTCCTCTCTGTCTTTCAGGGTGGAAAGTGATGGCAGGCAGTAGCGGAATCAAGTTTTTGGAGAGACAGGTGAACACAAACGGTCTAATAGAGGGGGAAACTCAGCACAGTCAGTTTTAAAAAACGAAACAAAAGGGGCACTTGAGCGACTCAGTCGATTAAGCAGCCAATTCTTGATTTCGGCTCAGGTCTTGAACTCAGGGTCGTGAGTTCGGGCCCCAAGTTTGGCTCCATGCTGGGCATGGAACCTACTCAATGATAATAATAATAATAATAATATAAATCAATAAAAAATGAAACAAAAAAATTCTCCAAAAGTATTTCTGTGCATCATCAGGGGTCCAAAGTAGTCTTGGTTTTTTACTGGGAAAAGAGAACAAGCTCAGGTCGAGTGGATGTCACTGCCTATAGCCCTACCTCAGAGGCGACCCTAATATTTGTCACTAATAGCTACTATTTTCTGTTGTGTGAAAACCTGCTGAGGCTGAATTTGAGGCTTTATTCAGATATTTATATCCTCGATCCCTTTTCCATTAAGTGTCTTCTAAAAGCGAAGCTTTCACTCCAAATGTTCTGGGGGGTTAGAACCACTGTTCCCGGTGTCGTTAATGAATCCATCACGTGGTCTGTTTTGGTTTTGGGTTAAATCAGCTGATCTTCCTGATGGGCATCAGGGAATGCTTTTATAGTTTCTTTCAGGTCCAGTGTTTTTGAGAGAGAGACCAATGAGATTTTTCCAAGGAAGTTGGTCGTCTGTTTTGCATAATTGGACAGGGTTGGCATTTGGAAGTTGAAGGCGGGGCTGTTTGTGTGAATTTTTCATGCCATTTAGCTTGGGCAATGCTCTTGTTAACTTGGCGTTAATTAAAATGAGAAAAATTAGAGTCAAAACAGCTAACGATGACTTTGGAGAGAAGCGTTTAGTTTCCTAGGTAGTCAGTGAAGGAAGCTTCATGGATTTGATTCATTTTTGACCCTCCCGGAACCGGTGCTTTATCTTAGGATGGCGCTGGGGGTGGGCATGGGGTAGTGGGGAGAGAGACCCAGCAAGCTGACCCCACAGTCCCTGAGGCCGTTGTACATTAAAAAGCCCTCTGTGTGTGGGTGGACAAGCCACCTGGGCTAGCCTTAAAGGATTGGAGACGAAACTCAGGTTCCTCACTTCTTCCGTCAGCGGAGGGCATGGGGAGTTTTCAGTCTCCCCAACCGTTTCCAAACGAGCACTCTGCCAGGAAACAGTCCAAGTCCAAGGGCTCAGAGGCATCTTAGTGTGGAACTCTGGAAAGAGTAGAGAGGATTCCCACGCAGGTAAAAGGTAAAGGTCTGAGTCTCTCTCTCTCTCTCGACCCCCCCCATGCAGGTGAATTTCGTGGCGTGTCAGCTCGTTGCTCTGTTTGCTGCGTTCTGGTTCCGCGTCTACCTGAGTCCTGGTAAAACCAGTCCCGATGTCCGGCACGCGTTTGCCACCATGTTTGGCATCTACTTTGTCATCTTTTGTTTTGGCTGGTGAGTATGAGCCTCAGAAAGTCTAATCCTTATCATTTGGGTGTTTTGTGGCAATGTTCTTGGCATTTGCCAGGCACCAAGGAAAGAAGTATTTACTCCTATTGTAGGATAATGGGGATGTCCCAGGAATGGCCATGTTCTCTAAGAACCTAGAACCAATAAACTACCCATCAGAAGTCGGTTCTGTGAACTTTTCTACAAGTTATGCTTTGACTCACCTCCCCGTGGGTCATGTAAATAGAATGGGATAAAGTTTCATTTTCCAGCTGAGGAACCCTTCCTACCTGTTGTAGATACTGGTGTTTTTCTTGCATTACTGCTGGAGGTAATTGGTGTCAGTCCTGTGCTTGGAGTAGGACAATAGTTCTAGGGCTGGTTTGAGGAAACATGAGACATTCCTTAACAAAGAGAGCCTGTAGATGACACTCTACTAAGTAAGCCAGTCAGTGACCCTGGGAGTGGCTCTTCTCCGGGGGAGGGGGGGGATGTTTTAGGAACCAACCTTTCTAGAAGTCCAACTTAAGGACATTTGTGAGTTTATTGAGCTACTTTATTGACTACTACTCTTCCTCCTCCAATAAAAATGTGAGAAAGGATGACGAGTATTTTGAAGCAGCAAACAGGTGAAATTCTTGGTGTCTGGGAAAGGTCAGTTTGGGTCCTGGTGCTTTAAAATTAAAAAAAAAAATGTTCTAAAGAAAGAAAGAATACTTCTGGACTCCCGATTGTACGTGTGCAAAGGTGTAAGCATTCCATTTATGGATTGCTGACGTCACCAGCACCGCCACTTCCTCCTGCCATTTCAAGATCTAGTACCTTAATTACACAGAGCGAAAATACTCAATTTATTTTCTCTTTCGTAAATGCGAGTTAATGGCTCATGGGCTTTTTGGAGGGGTGGGTACGGGCGTCCAGTAGGTCTGTTAATTTGGAATATATTCAATGCCTCTCCTTCTCTCTGTGATGTCTTAAAGGTACTCCGTACACCTTTTTGTGCTGGTGTTGATGTGCTACGGAATCATGGTCACCGCAAATGTATCCAGTATTCACAGGTAAGGTTCTGGGAGTGAACTAGACCACGTGTGGGTTTTTTGTGACCTCTGTAATGTGTTCCCAGCATAAAGGGGTACCTTCCCTGTTTTGCCCACCACAAGTTGCATATCCTAAGTTCTCTGGGGTATCAGAAGGAGAGGTGGGGGGTCCCTAAATGCTGAGGACACTTTGCAAACATTTCAGAGTAGAAGCCGCTCTGTGGTAGCCTCCAGACTGGAAACAGTCCCAATGGTCCCCACAGTGGGGTAATACTCCGCGGTTGAGAAGAGGGAATGATTGATGACAGTCACATGGAGTAAATATGGGGAATAAAGGATGCCACAGAAATCTGTTCTTGAAAATGCAAACTAATTTGTAGCGGCAGAGATCGGATCGGAGGTTAGCTGGGCTGGGCTGGTCCACAGAGATGAGGAAGGATCCGATCAGAGAGGCAGGAAGAGTGTGTGTGGGAGCGACGGATATGTCTGTTACCCGGAATGTGGCTATGGTTTTCTAGGTGTGTGCCTACGTTGAAACTTTGTGTACTTAAAATATGTACCATAAAATGTTAAAAGGGGAAGAAGTATTCGTACTATGATATTTTGATTTAAAAGCTACAGAGCTAACTTAATTCTGCCTTGAAGGCAACAATGTTTGGATCATTGATTCGGACACCTGTATACCTGTTAAGCCTTGTCTGTGTTCCCCAGGGCCTGTGTGAAACCTCAGTATTAATTCTGCCTTCAGGGGTGCTGGATCGCAAGCTCTATGAAAACAGAGTTCGCTGTTGTGTCCTCAGAGTCTAGGACAATACCAGGCACAAGTAAGGGCTCAATAAATATTTATGGAAGGAGTGACCAAACACCTTTGGAGAGACATTTGCCCTGCTATGACTTCTTTCTTGATGGCGTTTCTGAAAAAGCAGATGCCTTCTTTGAACTTCAGTAGGGTCTTTGATTAATAAGACAGCACAATAATTTTCCTTCTGAAAATCATTGAAATTTAAATTTTTCATGGATAGTCTTGTAAATTACTTGCAACAAATGTCTGGTTTTCAAGGGAAAATATTTTTGCACCATTCTAAATTTTATTTTCACCCAACTCTGTGTCCAGATGAGCTCTGAAAAATTGAATTATAATCCTCTCTCTCCCAAATGCCTTCCTTGAAAGGGATTGGGTCACTCCTTCAGAAGGGAAATAGGAAATCCATATTTCCAAGAACTGGTATTGGGAATGCCTCATATTATAGCAAAATGCTGTTTTTAGTGTTGGGGTCGGCAGTGAAAATGTCTGGCTTTTCCCAAACCTGAGTTTTGAAGCAGAGCAACAATTAATAAAAATGTTGTTACATCTCTATAGCACATTTTTAATGACCTTACAAATTGTGGCTTGTCATCTCTCACCACACTTGGGTGATGCCGATGGGTGTGGACCATTTTTCAGAGGGTCAAGAAACCTCCACGCACACTCATTCCATGCCGGGCCCAGTGTTCATCCTGGCCAGGAATGGAACAGTCCAGCCTTGGCCAAGCTGAGTGGTTTCCAGACAGGCTGTGACTGATGCCCCGTCATAATATTGTGGTAGCAGAGGGCTGTGTCATAAGACCAGAAAGGACGCCAGAGCAAGTTCTTCCCTTCTTTCTTTGCTGTGGTTGCCAAGATTGCAGAAGTAGGGAGTGGCTCATAGTTCCTGATGGAGGGAAGTGGCTTCCTACTGATGCAGGGAAAGAACATTAGACTGGAAATCTGGCACTTTCTAGCAGCGGGGGTTCAAATAGTTCACACAGCTTCTTTGTACATCAGATTTCCCACCTCTTAAAGGTGGGGTTTAAGTTTCCTTTGGGATCAGGATTTCATGACTCTTTGTGAATTGCGTTCTTCCCCTGGCTGAACCGGTCACAAGAGTTCTGTCCTTTGGCTGGGAGGCAGAGGGGAAGGTCAGTCTCTGCTGTCAAGGGGAGTTAACCCATGTCTGGACACGTGGTTGTCTTTGTCTAGAGAATTCTTGGCGCACCGGCTCTGTTTCCTTCCCAAGCTGCTATATTGGACAGAAATCACAGGTGTTCATTTATTCCATCTAAACCAACTGGAACAGAATATAGTTTGTATCTCCTCAGACGGACAGCCTCTTGTCAGAATGTGCAACACAGTGACCAGTTGTTGGGGGGTGGGTGGGTACCTGCTTGGTGTCAAGGGCTAAGCCAAGCTCTTTTATTTTTATTTTTTTTTTGAAGATTTTATTTATTTATTTGACAGACAGAGATCACAGGCAGGAAGATAGGGGTTGGGGGGAAGCAGACTCCCTGCCGAGCAGAGAGCCCCATGCAGGGCTCGATCCCAGGACCCTGGAATCCTGACCTGAGCCGAAGGCAGAGGTTTTAATGCACTGAGCCACCCAGGTGCCCCAGCCAAGCTCTTTTAAATAGTTTTCATTGTTTTTTTAATATATAAAGTCTTATTTAGTGTATCAGTATCATTATTGCAAAGATATTCTTTCTAGGACAATTCTATGGGATTCAGATCTTTTTCTCCCAGCCAAGGGGAGGAAATTGAAAGCTCAGAGAGGTAGAGAGGCATACAGATCCATGAGTTTGTACCGACTAAATACATCATGTTACCACCACCTGGGGCCGCAGGGGAATAGTATCCCCTATGCCCCAGGCTCTGCCACAGCCCTCCTTCCTAAAAGAACTGCTTTCTGGACTTCTCGAAAGAGTTTCGCCATTGCTGGGATTTGAAGTCATGTTGGTCTCTCTCCAGAATACATGCTCTCTCTACCACTCCTGGATTCCTTGGATTTTTTCCGGTTTGTCCAGAGCATGAGTACAGTGCCCTGTTGTATTGGGGCACAATACTTGGCACCATCTTTGATAAATAGCTCTTATGATAACAAATGAGTTGAACTGGGTTTTCTCTCTGAGTGGAGGGGCTGGGGAACGTAAGGGTCTAGCGCCTGTTGAGGAGAAAGAGGAAGCAGGCAACGGTTGCATTCAAAAGGGCCCTGGGAGAATTTGTCTTTCGAATTCACTTTGTGCTTTTGCCTTGACCCTCGCGAACTGGCCAGAGAAAGAAGCAGAGGTGAGATGCAGAAAGGCCTCCCCAGCTCCATCCTTCTTCTGCTTAGCTCTTCATGGAGTTGCTTTCTCTTCTTCACTCGCTTTGTTCACCGTCTTTCTGTTTGGAAAGCTTTAAAGATGAACCTGAGGCTGGGAAGGTCTTTTTGGGCGGGGGGGTCGTAACATCTTTGTTTGTAAATAACAGTAAGGAGAACATAAAGACAGGTAGTACTTTGGTGTTTACGGAACTCCTTCCCACTCACTGTCTGGATCTCCCTTGCTACCATGTGGGTTTTTATCATTCCTTGAGTGATTCATTCCTTGAATGTACATTCCTTGAATGTACTCCTTACATTCCTTGAATGTACTCCTTTCAGTTCATTTCAACTAACAGTCCACGAAGCCCGTCTGTGGTCAAGGGTAGGGATGCTTAAGGTCACAGTGTGTTTTCGGAACAGACACATGCATATAACTTCAGCATTATAATTGTGTATGTTGGCATGCAGCCCTAGAGAAGTCCTGAGAATGGAGAAGTGAATGGTGCTGGAGGTGGGCTGGGGAGCCAGGGGACTGACTGGTTGCTGAGCCTTACCTGGTAACTAGGCAGTTCACAGGTAGAGTAGAGACGAAGGGGGTTGCAGGCAGGGGAAGCGGCATGTGGAAGACGTTTAGCCTGAGAATGGAGGCTCTCATGGTGGAGAGGGAGCAGCTGGTGTCATTCGAACATAAGGGGGACATGGAGCGAGGCTGAAGAGGAGTCCGGAAGGGAAAGGTAGAGCTCAGTGTGCGAAGCATGTCACATGTCACGTTCAGGAGTTTGGATGTGACTGGACAGTGGGACCCACTGGAGGCTTTTACGACAGATAGCACTCATTTAGTTGTTGGTTCTTGTAGCGTGCAGCTGTCTGCTCTTGAGAGTGAAACACACAAGACATTCTTGCCTTCATGGGGCTCTTGGTCTAGTTGGGGAAACAATGGTTAATTCGATTATCACTGTTAGAAAGAAAACCTCAGACCCACAACGGAGTCCCTTGGGCCAACTCCCCCAACCGAGGCTTAATACCCTAACTTTGCTGCAGTTTTCAACCTCCCCCAGAAACAGGGGTCTTCCCTGGTCAACCAGGAAGTTTTCTGGTCCGCACCAAGGAAGATCTGTCACGTGGCCCTCTCCATCCCCCAAAGGGAAGATGCAGGGTAAGATGCTTCTCTCTGAGGGAAAGTGACCTTGCCTGAAACAGTCCCTTCTTCTCTTTCCCTGGTCACTCCCTTGTCCACCCTTCTGCCTATACAAACCTTCCGTTTTGTACCTCTCCGTGGGGCTCCCCTCATCTTGTTAGATGGCGTGCTGCTTCCAGATCGACAAATCTCAACTCAGGGGTAGAGCATTTGACTGCAGATCCACAAATCACTTAAGACAGTTGAGTCTTCAGAACTTACTCATTTGAATTTTTGTCCTTTCATGTCACCTAGATATAATGGCAAATTGATGAGTGCTCTGCATGGCGTGTGTGTGTGTGTGCGTGCGCGCGCGTATGGGTATGCGTGCGTGCGTGTGTTTTGCCAGTTCATTCCATGTGGTCAGGGCTGGTGTCCGTAGGAAGCCATGGAATCATCCAGAGTATGTGGTCCCTGCAGCCTCAGGCGTGGGCTGGGAGCGTCCCGAGCAGAGCACTGGGAACGCTCACACCCATGGAGTAAGTAGAGTAAGATTAGCTGAGCAGGAGCCGTGGACGGATGGGCAGTGGGCAGCAAACACAGAGACTGGAAGCCAGGAGAACAAAGTGTCTGAGGAAGGGACTGGTGGGCAGCGTCACGCTGGGCTGTATTTTGCAGAGATCCGGTGTGAGGATGGTGGTGTGTGGATTGGAGAATCTGAGTGCAGCCCTCACAGGGCCGTGGTTCCCAGCTCCGGCCGCCCAGTGCAGTCACACATGCCGGGCATGCCCTGTACCCGTTTAGCCCCCATATCGGGAGGGTGCGGTGCAGGTGCCTGCGGTTGCAGAGCTCCCTGGGTGACTCCATCGTGCTGTCCCCGTGACAAAAGATGAAGGGCTCCCGGCAGTGCGTGGGAAAGTGAGGGCAGTGCACGGACTGGGCCGCAGACCAAGCCGGGAGGACTTTGGGGTGGCTTGCGTGTGGGGAGTGAGGGGGAGGAAGAGGAGGAAATCGACGGTGTTACCGCGCTGCCTAATCATCAGACCCTCTTTCTGGTTTCAGATACTCCTTTTTCGTAGCCATGGCATACCTGACACTGTGCCACGTCAGCCGCATCTATATCTTCCACTATGGAATCCTCACTACGGATTTCTCCGGGTGAGTATCTTCATCTGGGCGGGGTGGGGGGGGGGACCTGGACTTTGGCCTTCGACTCGGTCTCTTGGGGTCTGTGAGGCTCAAGTGGTTGGGTTGACCGGTCGGTTGGGAAGACCGCACTCTGATGAGGTTGGGTTGGAAGGTCTGATGAGCTCTGCCGTGTTGTAAGGCGGGGGTGGCAAAGTGGGGCCCGTGGGCTCTACCCATCCTGCCGCCTGTTTTTGTAGCTACGTTGGAGCACAGCTGGGTACTGACCCACTTACGTGTCGTCTCGGGCTGCTCTTACGCTACACTGGTGGTAGGGTTGTGACGCGTGACCCACACAGCCCAAAACCTTTACTATCTTGCTCTTTACAGAAATAGCTTCCCGGCCCCTAGTCTGAGGCTCTTAACACAGGGTTGGTGTTTATCTCATGCTGATTTTTAATCATAGCGAGATTCTTCCATACGAGTTGAGAAGCAGACCCCCTTGGGTGACCCCCGGCTGCCCTGGCCTCTCCCCCAGATTCCCCTGACTTCCAGCAACTAGAAGGTAATACCCAGCACAGCAAGGGTCTCCGTACTCATCGTAAAAATTTGTCTGTCACCATGACCTTAACCTAGGGGGCCACCCCTCTCCTGATGGTCACCTGGCGAAGGCCGTGGGCAGAGCAGTGAAAATTGTGTACGCTGTCGATGTTGGTTCGGGAAGAGCGTTTTATGAATCTTGAGGAATGGACTGTAAGGCAGAGTGAGTCGTCGTAACTCATTATAGTGGCTGTGTTACTTCCCTAGGAGCTCGGGTCTGTTTTCTGCAGGAGTCTGAGGTCAGGGGGAGAGCCCGCCTTCTCCCCTCAGGTTGACTTGCCCTTGAATCCGTGAGTTATTGGAGAACAGGTAATGAAATAAAAACGGTTGCAACTCGTGGCTCATTTCTGTGAATTTCGCCAGTTGTGTAACTCAAGGGTCCCACCAAGAAGAGGTTTGGGAAGGGAGATGTGTTGCTTTGGGGCACAAGGACTTTCTTGTCCTCAAGTTTCTGTGTCTGTGATTTGCCCCTTCATGCATCGGTTCTCCCTACCTCACTCAGGCTCTTGGATTTTACGTTTCTCTTTGACTTGGCTCCTTCCTGCATGCCCCTCCCCGCAGGCTATGCAGCACAGTTGTTCAGGTTTTCTGAAACAAATTTGCAAACGTCTTACTTTCTAATGAGGTGGGTGGGAAAGTACGGGAGCAAAAATAATTTTTAAAATCATGTTAAAAATCATTTTTAAACAGCGATCCTAACTCTCCCTGGTGTTTAATCAACAAACTTCATTTTTTGGTTTCACCCCCAAACTGTACCCCCCCCCCCCCACACACACACTTAGAGGAGCTCCTGGCCCTAATTTTTATTTTATTTTTATCATTTTTTTATTAATTATATATTATTTGCCCCAGGGGTACAGGTCTGTGAATCACCAGGTTTACACACTTCACAGCACTCACCATAGCACATACCCTCCCCAATGTCCATGACCCAACCACCCAACCTCCCTACCCCCCGCCACCCCCCAGCAACCCTCAGTTTGTTTCGTGAGATTAAGAGCTTTTGAGTCCCCAGTATGCTAGGCACAGTGCCAGGTGTGGGGTAGGAGGAAGGGTGTTTTAGGCAGAGGGAACAGCTTTACAAGAGCACGGAACTGTGGCAGGGACCCGTGGTTGGCCCAGAAAGATGCCTCCTTCTCCCTTCTTTGCAATGCAGGCCTCCTGACTTGCTTTTACCCTCTCGGTCCACGTTGGAGGAAAGGAGTCTGGAGGTAGCTTATGGAAGAGAGAGGCTGTCACTCAGCAGGTCCATGATCCAAGGAAAGGCTTTGGTGCCGAATCAAGAGGTTCATTCATGTATCACTCCGCAGCCGCTGACTGAGATCCCCGAACCCGCCAGGCCGGGTTCCAGGACGCAGGGACGAGCAAAGCCTGTGGAATGCGTGTAAAGTTACCGACTTCGAGTCAGTAGGGGACGTTCCCCTGTGCCCGCATCACTGTGTGCTGGGTTGATTCATGTCTTCCTGAACTCAACCTCAGAACCTGCTCTTCTTTGGATAGAGCATGTTTGTAGGTGTAACTAGTTAAGATGAGGACGCACTAGATGAGGGCGGGCTCTCCCTTCATTATGGGGGGGTGCATCCTCCTAAGGAGGCCCTGGGAGACACAGATGCTGGGGACCTATAGAGGGAAGAAGGCCGTGTGAAGACGCAGGCACAGGGAAGGGTGATGTAGCCACAGGCCGAAGGACTCCAGGGATGGCCAGAAGCCCCCAGAAGCTAGAGGAGAATGTGGAATAGGTTCTCCCGCAGCCTCCAGAAGAAGCCAGCTCTGCCAATGCCTTGCCTCCGAAAAACAGTGAGATGATAAGTTTCTGGTTTTAAGCCACCTGATTTGTGGGAATCAGTTATGGCCACTGTAGGACAGCAGTACAGTGTTTTATGAATGCACGCCTTTTGATGGGCTAACAGCTGTCCCCTGCTCCTGATCCTGCAGGGGGAATGCCTCCAGGGTCCCCCATTCTCCCCCTTCTTCTCACACCTCCTCTTCCGTCAGTTCTGTCCATAACACCATAAACTCTTGAATGATCACTGATTCATTTTTAGTACAGCCAGAACCGGCAGAATTCACTTATGAAATGTGGTGGATCTGGGGACTCAGACAGCAGGGGACAGTGGAATCCATCACTGTCAGCCTGACTTCCAACAGCGGGGTCCAATGCATTTCCTCAAGGGATGCCTGTGCTTGGGCATTTTAAAGATCTCCTTGTATTAAGAAGGCTCTAGCATTACACACAAAGCTATAGAATGCTTGGGGATGTCTGGGGGGTTCCGTCGGTTAAGCATTTGACTCCTGATCTTAGGTCATGATTTCAGGGTTCTGAAATGGAACCCTACATGGGGGGGCTCCAAGCTCAGCTCAAAGTCTGCTGGACATTCTTTCTCCTTCTCACTCTGCCCTTCCTCCCACCAACATGCTTTCTCTCTCTAAATAAATTCAATCTTAAAAAAAAAACCAAAAAACCACATAGAATGTTTGAACTGGAAAAGACACTGTGGGAAAAGATACAAAGAAGCTGTGTCTATTACCTGTAGGTTTTAGTTCTTAGTGCCCTGGCTATTTGGTTCTTGGGTGTGTCTTCTTCCTTTTTTTTTTTTTTTAAGTTCTAGAACATTCTTAAGCAGCATTATTTGTTCCCTCCCACCACAAATGCACAAATGCCTCATGTCGTGACTCCACCTTCTTGGAGAGACAAACGGAGAGGTAAATACCAGCCTGAAATGGACAAGATGTTTTCAATCTCAAGTGGTCAGTTAGAGGTTCCTGACCAATGTCTGTTTCAAGAATGAGCCTGCAAACAACGAGCAGTTCCCCTTCAGAATGGAATTCGTATTCACACTGACATTTATTTCAGTTTTAAAGTCTTATCTTGGGGAGGAATAAAGTAGTGTTCTGCAGCCGAATTCTGGTGTCTTAGAGCAGCCTGACAAGAGAGCTGTTCTCTCTGGAGCACGCATCCAAGTCTTGGTGCTTTGCATCCTTTATTCGGTCTTTAGAATAAGAGCCCAGTCAGGAATTGAATGGGATGAGATGAGATCGGCGTTTGTGTCAAACAACATATATATGTCTTTAATTTGGGGGAACCCATAAACTGGTGCTTTAGATTATTCTGGGCCTTGAAATTTTGTCATTGTGCAAGTAATCAAGTTTTCTTGGGCTGGACTGGCATTAATAGTGAGGATAGCACAGAAGATAGTTTTATTATTGCCGCTAATACAGTTTCTATCAAGACATGCAGCGGGGGATGTCCTTTGTGGTTTCTCTGTGAGTGTGAGCTATTAAAAATACCAGAACATTTACTGTTCTTCTGGGGCAAGCTCAACACGGGCTTGTAATAAAGCTGGTACTTGATTCCTTCTAAGTTTGTGATGATCGGGAACAAATTCTTCTTTTTTGCTCACAGAAAAGTACAAATTGAGTTTTCTGAGGAAGCAGCAAGAAGAACCTTTATTTCCTCGTTGCTGGCTGGGCCAGATTCAGGCCGATCATTGTTCTCCTATCACATTGGCAATTGGGGTTGCCTGTGTGTTTTCAAAAAACAGTCTGAAATGAGCGCTGGTATAAATTGGTACAACCCTTCTGGAAGGCAACTTCGCCATAAAATTTCAAGCCAGAATTTTTTATTTTAAAAAAACATATTCTAGGGGCAGCTGGGTGGCTCAGTCCGTTAAGCACCTGACTCTTGATCTCGACTCAGATGGTGATCTCAGGGTCGTGGGATCAATCCCTGCTTGGGGTTCTGTGCTCAGAGGGATTCTGCTTGAGATTCTTTCTGTCCCTCCCCCGACTCGTCCGTGTGCTTGCTCGCTCTCTCTCTCAAATAAATAAATAAAAATCTTTAAAAAGTCATATTCTATCCCTAGGAATTTTCCTAGGGATTGAATTACCTTAAGGAAATCAAATTTATTCATAAGTGTGTTCAGCTGTTGTCAATAGTAGTGAAAAACTGGGAGCATCCTAAATGGTCCAAAAGAGGTGAGTGATCAAATGATGGTACGAATGTGTATCTACTGAAATTGATGTCTTCAAAGAATGTTTAGTGACATTGAAAAATGCTTACAGTAAAATGGAAAATCAAAACTGCAGAGCTAATACATGACTTAAGACTCTCCCCCACCGTTTTTTTTAATGAATGTGGACATGCATAGGAGAGGCTGGAAAGGGCTATTCAAAATGCTAAGACAGTGTGGTTCTGTTGGGGGGTTTTATTGGTGATTTTAATAATTGCTTTTTTCATATGATTATAATAAGAAATCTTAAGTATTATTAAAATATATTTGCAAGCATATTACCAGTGTGTATTACGGTGAACTATGGCCTCTAGGACTGGAATAATAGCTCTCTGTGTTCCCTGTTACCTTATTGGAGCATCATAGAAATATCTCTTGCCTATACCCCTTGCTGGTGGGAGGTGATCATTTGCCTGTTTGTCC